GTTAACAGCTAAATAGTCTGTCAGCGCAAACTGAAATACAGAGAAGCCAATGGTACAAAGCCAATGTATGATCTTATTTCTACCCAATCATTAACAATTCATTTCCAAACTTAAGCCTGCAATCAGCATATCAGCAAATCAATCAAAAGCTCTTCATCCCATTAAATTCAAAATTGCACAGTCCACCAACAATTCAAATTGAAAGGGTTTAGCAATAAAATAACACCATTTCTGAAATAGGAGCAAATGTAATATGGTCACATTTTTCTCCTACCCTGGCAAAAGAGGCTTTCATTGTTCTGCTTCACTTCTCAGGGCACTTTAGAATACATTTAGAATATCAGTGGGTGTGGAGATTTGAGATTATCTCACTTTGTGACTTGGTCAAAGTTGGGGTGTGTGGGTGTTCGATTTTCTTTTCAATAAACATTTTTCCAGCATGCTGCAGCATCCCTAGCCACCCACAATTCCTGAACTAAAAAACCCCAAAACAAATCATGGGGTGAGCTATTCACAATGCATCCCCCTAGGCTGTGATCGAGCCCCACAGTAGGCAAAAGATTCCTGCATTGCAAGGAGTTGGACTAGATTACCCTTGTCGTCCCTTCCAACTCTACAGTTCTGTGATTCTGCAAAGTGTGAGCACCCGGGAAGGCTGCGGAAGACACACAACCAGTCAATTAGCTGTAGAATGAAAGACACTCACAAACTCTCCTTGGTCACCTCAAAAGTGTGGGATGTAAACACAGGAGCAGTCAATGACAACATTCCTAGAGTGTACATGTTAGAACATGGTGGGGATGTCTGTCCAGCAAGCAGGTAAACTTCCTGGGGACGGACTTCCTCCACATGTGACTAGAGGTGGGTGTGGCCTCACCTGTGCAGGTGATGACAAAAAGCACAGGGCAGGCAGCCATCTCTCTCTCTCTGCCATTTTCCTTCGACGAGGAAACACCTAAGGATGCCCTCTTGGCTCCCAGCCAAGAGAGGAGATAAGGCCTATCTTGCTATGAGATAGATTCTAAATCTATGTAACCTTTTTAAGCCTGTCTGCCGTCTGGGATCACATTGTGAACAGAACGTGAGTAAACTCTTTTATACTTTTATGAAGACTGTGTCGTGTCTTATATTTTAAGAGGGAACTAAAGGGGAAATTACCAGGGTAATTATTATAGAGGTTCTAGCGAACCTGTGCACACGTTACCGTTGCGTACTAAAGGGGAATGTATGTAAACTCTGCTGATATTTTGGGAACTTGTTAGCACAAGTTGGATCAGGATATAATTAGTCAATATATCCTTTCCTGCACCCCAGAACATTCCCACAAAAAGTAGGGTAAGCTTCGCATAGGCATCTCAATGATTACTGCCAGAACAGGATTCTGGACTAGACAAGCGACTGGCTATTCCATCTGGACTCTTCTGATGGTCTTAACAAAAATCCTGCACTTTTCCCCATGAGAATTTCACCGGAAAATTTCTCCCCCTTTGATGATTTTCCAATGTGGTCTCTTTTCTCATTTGTTGATGGGGAATGGTTGTGAAAAAGTGGGACAAACATTGGGCACACCCCTAGACCAAAGGTATGTAACACTAAATAAAATGTTTATACCAAAGTCTCGGGGCACTTGTGTGTTTCCTGTGGCATTGCCACTCACTTTTTATGGGGTGTCCACAAGACACTGGCATCAAACTTTTGCCCTCTTGTGTTTTCAGACTTGCAGAATCACCGAATCATAGATCTGTAAAGTTGGAAGAGACCAAAAGGATCATCTACTGTATTTTTCGCTCCATAAGACACACTGGACCATAAGGCGCACCTAGTTTTTAGAGGGGGAAATCAATAAAAAAAATCTTATTTCCCCCCCAGCCCCAAAGAGCAGCGCTTCTCCCAGAGCTTCTGGAGCTGCCAGAGGAAGCCCAGGTTCCCCCCCCCCAGCCCCAAAGAGCAAAGAAACCAAGTCAGTGAGCAGGATGGATCCCGCTCGCTGTCTTGGCTTCCTCTTTAGCTGCGCACAACCTCTCCAGCCAGAGGGGCTGCGCGTGGCTATGGCAATTCTCCCACCTCCTGCAAAAGCCCACAGGAGCCGCACACCCTTTAAGGAGCATGCAGCTCCTGCGGGCTTTTCTACGAGGAGGGAGAAGGGACTGACTGGCCATGTCAGTCCCTTCTCCCTCCTGGGGAAAAGCCCGCAAGAGCCGCGCGGAGCTTGTGTGCAGCTCTTGGGGGCTTTTCCTGCCTGCCTCCCCCCTGCATTCGCTCCATAAGATGCACACACATTTTCCCTTACTTTTTAGGAGGGAAAAAGTGTGTCTTATGGAGCAAAAAATACGGTAATCCAAGCTCCTACAACACAGGAATCTTTCACCCGTGGGACTCAAACCCATGACCCTGAGATTAAGGGTCTCATGCTCTGCCAACTGAGCTAAGAATGAACTTTTGCATGTGTAAAGAATTGAGCCATTGGTGGTGCAGGTGGCCATTGTGTTACTTTTCCATCTTTTGGGAGAAGCATGGGTTTCATGTGCAAGGAAAAAGTAGGTACTTGAACCTATTGTCACCCACAAGTCCCTATCTCAGCACATCTTTACTATTTCTGTCCCAGTCTGAGCCATTATAGCTCTCTACCCCCTTTTTTCTTTTTAAATGATCTGTTAATTTGCACTATTTCACCTGCCTTGTTAAACTCATTATTAAAAGTAACAGCACTTGGGTGAACAGGTGTTTTTGTGCAATTTGCGGAGGATTTTAAAACACTTTGACTTTCCTGTCTCATCTGTTGGCACCCTTTTAACAAAGTGCTTATTTGGGGGTTTGTTTTTTTAAAAAAAGATAGTTATAAAAGGTATTAATATATGATATAATGCCGTTGAAATAACCACACACAGAAATGAAATAAGCAAGAACTGATGTAACATAATGTCTATGAGAGTCAAAATCCAGGGCGATAAACTATCTTATTTTGTACCAATTTAATCTAAGAGCACTTCCAGGCTGTCACGATTTTCGGATGGGATTGAGCCACACACAAGCAAATACAGGCTGCACAATGAAAGCTGATCTGAAACTCTGGTGAAACAAACCGACCTCCCCCAAAGACTGAGCTTTCTTCCATAAGGAAAGTGACAAGGGGAGGGGCACTAGAGAATGTATAAGGATAGCACTTGCTTTGGCACAGCATCAACAAAGCACCAACACCCTCTGGCAATGAAAGAAAAGGAAGTCCTTCTTCATGCAGCGCATCGTTAAACTATGGAACTCACTGCCACAAGAGGCGGCGATGGCCACCAATTAGGATGGCCCCAAAGGGGGATTGAACAAATTAATGGAGGAGAAGCCTATCAATGATTACTAGCCAGGATGGCTATGCACTGCCTCCACAATCGACGGCAACAATGCTTCTGAATCGCAGTTGCAGGAAACCACAGGGGGAGAGAGTGCTCTTGTGCTTGGGTCTTGCTTGTGGGTTAACCTACAGGTATCTGGGTAGACATGGTGAGAACAGGATGCTGGACTAGATGGGCCATTGGCCTGATCCAGCAGGCTCTTCTTATGTTCTTATCTTCCTGTGAATGCTCATTAAGTAACCAAGGCTGTCTACTCACCTTGCAAACAAATCAGGATGAACGTTCAATAAACATATGCACTGCACGGTCAGGGAAAAACCAATGCTGTCCAGGGTTTGTAAAGACTGTGGAGAGAATAATTGGGTGCACTCTTCCCACCTTGGATCAAATCTATGCTTCCAGGTGTCATAAGAAAGCTGCAGAGTTAGTGCAGGATAGTGCGCACCCCGGAAATGATCTCTTTCAGCTTCTGCCTTCTGGAAGAAGGTACAGGGTTATAAAGACTAGGACTAGCCGCCTGAGAAACAGTTTCTACCCAAATGCAATTTTGGTTTTAAACGCAGTGTAAGGAGTCTTTATGGGAGTATAAAGGTAAAGGTACCCCTGCCCGTACGGGCCAGTCGTGTCCGACTCTGGGGTTGCGTGCTCATCTCGCTTAAGAGGCCGGGAGCCAGCGCTGTCCGAAGACACTTCCGGGTCACGTGGCCAGCGTGACGAAGCTGCTCTGGCGAGCCAGCACCAGCGCAGCGCACGGAAACGCCGTTACCTTCCCGCTATAAAGCGGTCCCTATTTATCTACTTGCACTTAAGGGTGCTTTCGAACTGCTAGGTGGGCAGGAGCTGGGACCGAACGACGGGAGCTCACCCCGCTGCAGGGATTCGAACTGCCGACCATACGATCGGCAAGTCCTAGGCACTGAGGTTTTACCCACAGCGCCACCCGCGTCCCTTTTTATGGGAGTATATTGTATTTAAAAATAGGGTATCAGAGTTTTTAGGGGGCTAACCAGGTTGGGGTAGCTGGGATAGCAGGCTTGTTGGTTTTTGAATGTCTTATGTAGATTTTTCAATTTCGTTGTTCTGTGTGGGACAATGACAATAAAGATTATCGTATCGTATCGCTGGAAGGGCCCTGACTGCCGGACTACCATCAGCTCCAGCCAGCATGAATAATGGGAGCCATCTAAAATGCATCACATTGGCTACCTCTGGTCTAGATGCTAACTCAAAAGGGAACACCCCAACCACTCAGCTGTCCTTAGAGAAGTCACACCTTTGAAGCCTCAATCTCCCAGGAATGGAAACTACTCTTCAAAGGAGATGAACAGAGATGAAAACAATGGCCTACCTTACCAGGTTGTATGGGTGACAACAAAGTGGAAGTGCTCTCTAAATGGTTCTTACTGCTGCTGGCCTTGTGAGATGTCTATCTATAGATGTGTTTTGTTTCTTCGGACTGGAGGGGGATTCCGCTGTGTGTGTGTGTGTGTGTGTGTGTGTGTGTGTGTGAGAGAGAGAGAGAGAGAGAGAGAGAGAGAGAGAGAGAAACTTTGCAAAGGCTGTAGATGAGGAGGGAGGATTGGAGAGGGGGAGGAGAGAGGGAGGGAAGGAGGGGAGGCTTATCTCTCTCTCTCTCTCTCTCTCTCTCTCTTTCTTTCTTTCTTTCTCTCACTCATTCTCTCCCCTCTCAGTGTCAAGAAATCTTGGAGAGGAGGAGGCGGCGGCTCTGTCCTGGCAGGTCCCTTTCGCGAGGATGAAAGCCCAGCTTCCCAGCCTGGGGGTGCAGTAGGCGGTGACCCCCGAGAGAAGAGGGAGCCCTCAACTTGTAGGCAGCGGTGTGTGTAAGGGGTGGGGGGGTCTCTCTTTTGGGAGATCTCCAAACTCCTGCGCTCGGGACCTTCTTCGCCTCTGGACCGGCAGAGGAGGCGCCCCGGCGGCTGCAGCCCAGCCGAGCCCCGCCGGTCTCTCTCGCTCTCTCCCTGCGCCCCGGAGCCATGCCGTCGCCGCCGCCGCTGCCCTGCCGGGGCTGGACGCTGGCTCTGCTCACGCTGCTGGTGGGGATCCTGATCTTCGCGGACATCTCCGAGATCGAGCTGGAAATCGGGTAAAAAAGAAACAATGAAGCCGGGTTCGATTCCCCCGCGCGTCCTTGCGCTCTGACCCAGGTGGCTCTTGTTGTGGGGAGCGCGACTGGGGGGGCTAAGGGAAAACAGTTTGGGAGAAGCAGGGGGCTTGGAGCCGGGCTGGAGTAGCCGGGTGGGGTGGGGTGGGAAATCAAGCTCTGCTTTGGTTCGGGCAGGGGGGCGTGGCGGAGGGGGGCTTGTAAGGTAGGGGACACTTTTAGCTCGGGGGTGGCTTTTCAAAAAGAGGGACCGATGCGAAATGATGCTGGCGGGGGGTTTACAAAGGAGAAGGGAAACCTCTGCGGGGGGGGAGTGCGGTTACAAAGGATGTTTTTTCTCTGGGGAAGGAGGATGAGGAAGGGGGCGCGATGGAGTGGAAGGGGGGCTGCAAGAGAAGGAGAGTGTGGGTGGGCTGGGCGAGGGGGGGGGACTCCGGAGTTTCTTTGTCTCCGCGCGCGCTGCCTCGGCTGCTAGTGCTCTCAGTAGCGAGGGGGGAGCGCTTTCGCTCTAGCCTCTCGCCGACCGAGCTCCCAACCCCTGTACCGGCCAGCGCGGGGTGAGGTTCGAGGGTGGGGTCGGGCTTATCAGCTGCAGTTGTTGGGGGGTTAAGGAGTCAATCGATGTGGGTCTTGGGGAGATCTGGAAAGGAGGAGAGGAGAGGGGGGCGTGGACCGGCTGGAAGTTGGGGAGGGGAGATAAACGGGAAATGAGAAAGCCGCCTTGGATACCAAGTCCATCTAGCTCCGTGCTGTCTGCCCTAACCGGCAGAAGGGAAAATTCCCAGCCCCACCTGAAGATGCCCTGGGTTGAACCTAGGATCTTCTGCGTGCAAAGCAGATGCTCCACCACTGAGCTCCGGTCTCTCCTCTGGGACACAGGAGAACCTCATGTCTTATTTTGATAGTTACAAGCTTAGTGGATCAGGGGGATGTTGTAGATGTAGCATATCTTTATTTCAATAAGGCTTTTGGCAAAGTCCCCCATGATATTCTTGCGGAGAAGCTGGACAGTGTTATTGTTAGGTGGATTTTTAGGTAGTTGACTAACCAAACCCAAAGAGTACTCGCCAAGGACTCCCCGTCATCCTGGGGGTGGGAAGGTGACAAGTGGGGTGCTGCAAGGTTCTGTCCTGGACATGGTGTTGTTCAACAGTTTTATAAATTACTTGGATTAAGGAATTGAAGAGGATTTGCATAGGACACCAAATTGAGAGGGGTAGCCAATACTGTACCTCAGAAGACAGAATCAAGATTCAAGATGACCTTAACAAATTGGAGAACTGAGCCAAAACTAACATATGACATTTCAATAGGGACAAGTGTACACTTAGGCAGGAATAATCAGATGCCCAAATATAGGAAGGAAAACACCTGGTTTGCCTGTAGTATATGTGAAAAGGATCTAGAGCAGGGGTCAGCAACCTTTTTCAGCCTTGGGCCGGTCCACCGTCCCTCAGACTGTGTGGTGGGCCGGACTATATTTTTTTTGGGGGGGATGAACAAATTCCTATGCCCCACAAGTAACCCAGAGATGCATTTTAAATAAAAGGACACATTCTGCTCATGTCACGCTGATTCCTGGACCGCCTGCAGGCTGGATTTAGAAGGCGATTGGGCTGCATCCGGCCCCTGGGCCTTAGGTTGCCTACCCCTGATCTAGGGGGTCTTAGTAGACAACAAGCTTAACATGAGTCAACAGTGTGATTCTGCAGCAAGAAATGCTAATGCAATTCTGGGCTGCATCAACTGAAGTAATAGTCCAGTTTAAGGGAAGTAATAGTACCATTATATTGTCTTATATCAGACCCCACTGAGTACTGTGCTCAGTTCTGGGCACCACAATTTAAGAAGGATATTGGCAAACTAGAACTTGGTTGCAGAGGAAGGCAACCAAGATGATCAAGGGTCTGGAAACCAAGCCTTATGAGGAACAGTTGAGGGAGTTGGGTATGCCTAGCCTGGAGAAGAGAAGACTAAGAGATGACGCAATAGCCGTCTTTTAAATATCTGAAGGGCTGTCATGTGGAAGAAGGTGCAAGCTTGTTTTGTGTTGCTCCAGCGGGGAGGATCCAAACCAATGGATTCATGTGACAGGAAAAGAGATTCCAACAAAACTTGAGGAATAATTTCTGATGGTAAGAACAGTAGAGCAGATGAGCTGGGAAGGTGGTAGACTCTCCTTCGCAGGAGGCTTTTAAACACAGCTTGGATGCCCATCTGTTAGGGTTTTCTTAGCTGTGATTCCTCCATTGCAGGAGGTTGGACTACATGAAGACTGGGGTCCCTTCCAACTCCAGAGTTTTCTGGTTCTATGAAAGATACAGTTGCTCCTCTAGTTCAGCATTGCCTATGCTGACTGGCGGTAGTTCTCCAGGGTTTCAGACAGGGGTTGAACCTGAGACCTGCTGTGTGCAAAGGAGATGCTCTGCCACTGAGCTACATCTCTGCATCTTGGGATAGGGACTTGTAGAAGGGCTGGTTTAATGCAAGAAGTACCGAAAAGCTCCAGGTTTAGCACTTGAGAAATGTTGGAAGTTTAAAGTGGGAGAGATGGATCCACCACACTCCACTGACAACCAGGGGCAGTGGCAATGGCATTGTTGGCAAAGCTGGAAAGTGTTAGGCATCATGCTCAGGTGTAGGTAAAAGGTAAATGACCCCTGGACAGTTACATCCAGTCAAAGGCGATTGTGGGGTTGTGGCGCTCATCTCACTTTTCAGGCCAAGGGAGCCGCCGTTTGCCCACAGACAGCTTTCCAGGTCATGTGGCCAGCATGACTAAACTGCTTCTGGCACAATGGGACACCATGGAAATGCCGTTTACCTTCCCACCACAGTGGTACCTATTTCTCTACTCGCACTGGTGTGCTTTCGAACTGCTAGGTTGGCAGGAGCTGGGACAGAGCAACGGGAGCTCACCCCATTGCATGGATTCGAACTGCCAACCTTCCGATTGGCAAGTCCAAGAGGCTCAGTGGTTTAGACCACAGTGCCACAAATGTCCCTCAGGTATATCTAGCAGAGAGGCAATAACCATTCATTGCACTTATCCCTTTTCTGCCCTAGTGCTTGTGACATGGATAGAAGCCCCTTTTGCAATGGTTCTCCCCTTCTCTGTGTACCTACTCCACACTTGTAGGACCCAGCTGTAGTGTTTGTTTTGAAGGGAATGTATTAAGTAAGAGGAGTGCCCCAGTGCCCCGGGGCTGGTACTGAGTGCAATTCTCTCAATACGGAGCAATAATTTCAGATCCATGTTCTTTAAGTGTGCATTAAATGTATGGTGCCTTTACAGTGCCACCATACACACCATACATTTAAAGAACATTGCTTCCTCCAAAGAACACTGGGAACTGCTAAGGATGTTGGGAATTGCAGCTCTGCAACACATCAATTACAGTTCCCAGCATTCCTCGGGGGAAGCCACATGCTCCAAATGTGCTTTAAATGCTCAGATTCTGCTTCTCAGTTTCCAGCTGGGCAACTGGTTGGCCATTGTGAGAATAGGAGGATGGATTAGATAGGTGGGCCTTTGGATCCAGCCGGGCTCTTCTTATGTTCTTATGGACTTGTACTGCCATGGGAAAGGCTGTTTGGGGACATAGGAAACTGTCTTGTGCTGATTGAGACCATTTGTCAATCTAATTCAAGATGACTTCTGAACACCAGTTGCTGGCAATCCCAAAAGGGGAGAGCTGCTGTTGTGCTCGGGTCCTGCTTGCAAGCTTCCCACTGGGGCATCTGGTTGGCCACCGTGGAAGAGGGATGCTGGAGTAGACAGTTCTCTGCCCTAAGCCAGCAGAGCTTTTCTTATGTTCTGCCATTCTGGAGGAAAGGGTTGGGTGGATATCTGCTGTGGGCACTTCCCGGTCAGGGATGGGTTTGGCGAATAGTCAGGGAGGGAGGACAGAAGTTAGAGTCTCTCCACCTCTGCCTTAGATGTTGCTGTCAATCTTGTCTTAGGCTGAGTAGAGGATAAAATGAAGAGAGCTCTTCCACTTTCCTATTATTCTGTGATGGAGCGTGTGGTCCTGATTAGACCAAGGAGGGAGGAGCACTCCATCAAGTTGAAGGGGAAGCTGCTAGTCGAGATACGGATGGAGCAATGTGTAAAAATGTAGTTCTCAGAGTGTGCCATGAGAAATCAATCACGTAATTAAAGACTGTTGTGACTCCAGAGTAGCCATTGATGCAGCAGTCTGTCTGCTGCATTTTGGCACAAAACACCACTCCAAGCCCACCTTCTTCCTTCCAATTAGGAAGCACAACCAGAGCAGCTTCTTGTGCAGGTATCCAGAAGGGGGACTGCTCCTTACATGCCCTAACTAAAAGGTACACCTTTAGAGGTGCAATTGTGAAATGTCCCTTTAGATATAAATCAGAAGGGAAGAGTCTCAGTCGTCAGGGAGAGATTCATGCTCTCCTACATTTCTCCGAAGAAAATAGGGACATCCTAAGGAAAAGTGGGACATTCTGGGATCAAATCAGAAACCAAGATGGCTTCTGTAAATTCAGGACCACCCCTGGAAAATAGGGACACTTGGAGGGTCTGAGATTTGGTACTTGCCAAACTGAAATGGGATAGGACAGAAGAACAGTAGAAGAGTCCCATTATATCAGGCCAATGGTCCATCCAATTCCTTTTAAAAAAAATAAATACATACATTTTTATTTGATTTTCCAAAATATGAACATACAACAAAAACAATTCCCAATCTAATTATTGAGATTATGCTGAATCTCCTGACTTACCCGCATCCCTTCCATAGGTCCTATTGATTCTATTTTCAACTACATATCAATACTTCTCCAATTTTTCATCTTCCTAGGTTATCTGTACGTTCTATTACATTACAAGTGTGTTTAAGATCCTGCTAATGTTTTGACCTGTTTACAATGATTTTGTATATACATTATAAACATTTCCCATTCTTTTTTTTAAAAAAAAAATCTTGTCTTCTTGATTCCTAAGCTTCCCAGTT